CCTAGATTGTGGTAGAGACCCCAACATGTGAGATACAGAGCTGTGAGATATCCATATACAGAAAACTATATATGGTGAGTAAAACTAGCCCAGGAGATATGTATGCTGCAGGTAGCAAAATTGGAGGAGCAGAGGCATCTAGGCCCTTTGAAACGAAGCCCCAGATACAGGATATGGAGCTACCTGATTTGGTCTTTTGCACTGCTGAGTTTTAGTTTTTGTTTTGGTCCAATCTTTCCTCACTATGTCCCCATTCCTCCTTTTAGAAATGGGAATATATATTCTGTGAAATTGTGTATTAGAAGTATATAATTTGTTTTTGATTCTCAGAAGAGCCTTTAGATTTGGACTTTTAAAGTATTGAGACTAGAAAAGATTATGGGACTTTTGAAGTTGGACTAAATATATTGTGCATTATGAGATGGCCATGAGTCTATGGGGATCAGCAGTGGAATGCTGTGGTTTGAATAAAAATGTTCTCTGTATTTGAACACTTACTATCCCCTTGGTGGCACTCTTTGGGGAGGAGGGGCTATGGAACCTTTAGGATTTGCTGGAGGAAGCACATTATTGGGGGTAGGTTTATAGCCTTGCCCTGTCTATCAGTTACTTTTCTGTTGCTGTGATAAAACAACATGACCAAGGCAATTTATATAAGAGTTTATTTGCACTTACAGTAAGAGTGTATAATGGCAAGGGAGGCATGGCAGCAAAGGTGGACAGAGCAGAAAATTGAGCAATCACATCTTCAAGAAGACACAGGAAGCAGAGAGAGAGAGAGAAAATGGGAATTTAGCAAGGCTTAAGAACTCTCAAAGCCTGCCATCCCTCCACTCCCCCATGACATGCTTTTCCTAGCAAGGCCACAGCTCCTAAAACCTCCAAAAACAGCACCACCAACTGGGGAAAAATGTCCAAATACTTGGAACTTATGGAGGACATTCTCATTCAAACCATATTCTACTCCCAGGCCCCCATAGGCTCATGGCCATATCATAATGCAATATGCATTTAGTCCATCTTCAAAAGTCCCATTGTCTTTACTAGTTTCAGCCCCCTTCAGCTTTGCTGTGTGCAACATATAGCTCTCACTTGGGCTGGTACTACTTCCTCAATGCAGCTCTCCTTGGTAGCTATCTCATGACTCTGGCATCTCGAATACCTTGGGGTCTCCACTGCCAAACAAGCTTCACCTTCACAGCTTTACCCAATGGCTTGTCAAGGTTTTCTTTCTGTGAGGACATCCCTGCTGTAGGCTGCATGGCCTTGGTGGCACTCTGAAACCACAGAGGAAGAACCAAGGACCCCTTTCACTCTTGCATCATTCATGCCTCTAAAACCAGCACCAAGTTAATAACACTGTGAGTTTGGCTGCCAGCCTGGGATGGACCCAGCCATGCTCCATCATTAGTAGTTTCTCCATGCAGTGTTTTTTTTTTTAGGAGCAGCAAACTCCTCTGGTATTTGAAGGTTTAGCTGAGTGTGGTCTTGCTCTGAGGGTACTCTTTCCATTGTTTAAGTGCAAATCTATAGGCCTTTCCTTAATGGCTCTAATCTCCTTATCAAAGAGAGCCCATCCTCCAGCATATGCCTTGGCTCTAACATTAATCTTTCTAGTACTCCTTTTTAATTTCAAACTGTACATTCTACATTTCTTTCTACCCCAATGGCTGTTTTTCACTATAGATCTGCATAATATTCACCATTTATGCAGCAATTTAACATTAGGCTGTCTTGAGATATCCTCTATCAAAGAAATTAATCTATGACTTTCCAACTTAGCCTCAGTCAAGCTTTTATGCTGGGGGAAGAATACAGCCAGATGCTTTGCCAAAATATCCCAGTTGCTGCTTAATCCTTAGTTCCCCCTGGAACTACTATGTTTCCAGCACTATTTTCTTCCAGGCACCTACTAGAACCACCCATTAAGCTCTGCTTATAGCAATCAACTGATTCTGTAGTCCGAAAATTCTTCCAAAAATCCCACATGGTCAGGTTATTCACAGCAACAGTCCACTCCCCTGGTATCAAATTCTATATTAGTTATTTTTCTGTTGCTGTGAAAAAACACCATGACCAAGGCAACTTATAGAAGGAAGAATTTGAGTGTATGGTTCTAGGGGTAAGAGTCCATAATGGCAGGGAAGGTGGCCAGAGCAGAGTTCAGATATCACTTCTTCAAGCAGGCATAGGAAGCAGCAAGAGACTGAAAATCTCACAAGGGTTAAGAACTCTCAAAGCCAGTCTACCAATGATGTGCTTCCTCCATCAAGGCCACACCTCCTAAAACCCCCCAGAACAGCAGCACCAACCGGGGTCAAAATGTACAGATACTTGGAGCCTATGTGGGACATTCTTATTCAAACCACCATGCCCTGTGCCCTGCTTCCTCCTTCTTTTCTTTACTTCTTGTGTGGATGAACCATGTGATTAGTCAGCTTCATGTTTCTACCACTATGCCATGCCTTGCCTGCTATGACTGATTGTATCCCCCCTGGAATTATAAGTCAAAATAAACTTTTTCTACTTTAAGTGACTTTTTGTCATGGTATTTTATCACAACAACAGAAAAGTAACTGCTATGGCAAAACAACTTTAACAGGAGAAATGGATAGGGGGATGAAATTGTGTAAAAGATACATTATATAACATTATATAACAAGTTATATATACATTATATAACAAGTTGAATGCCTTAGTGAATGAGAGATAGCTTAAGGGACAATACCAATAAGCTATGCCTGAGTTACTAGGAAGAAAACAGTTGGGCTAAATAGCAAAATAGGGAAAAATACCCTTGGAAGAGAGTTCCAATTGTGTAATGACAAAACAATCGTAACTGAAGTACTATTTAACATATTAACATATTAAGTAAAAAATATATAAACAAAACTCTACTGAACCAAATTAAAAAAAAATCTAAGAACTAAATAAGATAAATAGAATTTCTAAGAATTAAATAAATGTTGAGATAGTTCATACTTATGGACTGGGAAAAATAGCATCGAGATGTCTGTCTTCCCAATCTCATCTATAGATTCACTATAATTTCAAAATCACAGGCATTTTGTTGAATAAAAACAAGCTGATTCTGATGTTTACATGGGCAGTAAAGCACACAGAATAGTCACCACAATGTGGAAGAAAAACAAACAGAAGATTCACTATCTTATTTCAAGACATTATTAAGGTATAGCAATTGAGACAGTGTGGTATTGGCAAAAGAACAAACAGGTCAATGGAACAGGGTCCAAAATAGACCACACATACAAAAGAAAAAGGCAATACAATGGAAAAACTATTTTCAACAAACTTTTCAGGAACTGGCTATAAACATAAAAGTACTCATGTACAAACTTTATACATGTCACAAAAGTTAACTAAAAATGGATCACAGATTTAAACATAAAATGAAAACCCATAAAATTCCTAGAATATAACATAGGTAAAAATCTAGATGACTTTGAGTTTGACTTTTTAGATAGACTACCAGGGGCATGAAAAGAATAATCAATAAATTCACTTCAATAAAAGTGTCTGAGACTCTATTGTCAGTTGAGGGATACTGGGGGAGAGAGTCATTTTCTTTGGAGGTATGGTCACTAGTAGGTTGCCCATGCTCCAGTGGATGGTTCCACACACATGTACATGTATATGCACATATAGGTTGCACTTAACTGGAATCAGTGGGATACACAGAGACACAGACACAGACACACACAGACACAGAGACGCACGTGTACATCGTGTGTGTGTGTGTGTGTGTGTGTGTGTGTGTGTGTGTGTATTTGTTTTTGTTTCTGTTTTTGTGACAGGGTCTCCCTAAAGTCTCTTGCTAAGTAAACCGGGTCTGGCCTCAATCTCACAGAAATTCACTTACCTCTGCTTTCTGAGTGCTGGGATTAAAAGGCATGTACCACCATACCCAGCTGTGTTTTTATTATATATGTTGGAAGGGAGAAGTGTTGGGGAGGGGGATCCAGGACAAATTGGAAGGGAGTAATGGGGGTGGATATGATCAATATACATGTATGAAACGTTCAAAGAATAATAACAGAAAACCCTTCTGATTTGTGAAAGATATTACTAAGACATTGTGAAAACAAAGAAAATTTTTGGAAAAAGACATATATATTAGAGAACTATTATTGAAATATAGAAAGACTCCTTGAATGTCAATGCCAAGAAAATAATCTAATTATAAAATGAACAAAATTTCTAAAGAAAAATCTCAACAAAGAAGATAGACAATGTCAAATAAAAACATGAGTGTTCAACATCAGAAGCCATTTGGGAAATGAAAAGTAAAACAATATGAAGCTAACACTGTAAGTTATTAGAATGGGAAAGGTCCAGAATACTGAAAACATCAAATACTGGAAGGAAAAAAAAATCACAATTAATTAATGGTGGAATGCAAGAGTGAAGGTACTATAGAAGAAAGTTTAGAAGTTTCTTACAAAGCTAAACATGTACTTAGCATACTCACAGAGCTGGGTAGTTTTAAATGTCACTTTGACACCAGCTGGAATCACCTGAGAAGGGATCCTGAAGGAGGAGGGATTGTCTAGACCAGGTTGTCAGACAGGCCTGTGGGCATGTCTGGGTCAGACTGTCTGTTGTTAATTAATGTAGGAGGATCCAACCATTGTGAGGACATCATTCCCTCACATAGGGGGGTCCTGAAATACAAAGGACTGAAGAAAGCTGGATGGAAGCAAGAAGCAAGGATACACTGATTCTCTTTGCTCTTGACTGTGAAAGTGATGGACCTGGTACTTTAGTTCCTGCCTTGCCTCCCCTGAATGACCAGCTGTAACCTGGACTTGTAAGCCAAATTAACCTTTCCTCTCCTATGTTACTTTTTTGTCAGGATATTTATCACAGCACCAAAAACATAACTAGAACATTCATGAGTCAATAATCATGCCCCTTGGTATTTATACCAATGAACTGGAAACTTCCAGTCAAAACAAAATAAAACAAAACCTACACATGAATGTCTTCAGCAGCTTTATTCATAATCAGTAGAAACAACCAAGATGTCCTTTAGGAAGTGAACAGTAAAGTCAATTGTAGGATGTATAAACAATGCAATATTATTTGTCACCAACAAGAAATGTACCTTTAAGCTGTAACCAGATAAGGGGAACCCAAATGCACATTAGTAAATGAAGGACTGCAACTGCATTTCCATTCAAAAAATGCAAAACTATGGAGCCAAACAAAGATCAGTGGTTGGCAAGCACTAAAGCAGAAGGAGGGAGGTACAGGGTACCGTGAAACTCTTGTGTTATGATGACACCATATGAGTGGCTGCTGCTTCTCTGACATTTGTCCAATCATAGAATGTAAACCCACAACTGTGAGCCTTTATATGAAATATGAATTTTTTTTGAGACAAAGTAGCACAGGCTTCAAGCTCATAGCAGTCTTCCTGCCTCAGCCTCCAAAGTGCAGGGACTGTAGTAGTGAGCCTCCACTCCTGGGTAACCATGGACTTTTGATGATAAAAACACACCAAAGTTGGCTTATCAGTACAACAAATGTACCTCTCTGGTGCAAGATGTTGATAGTGATGTGGACTATTTGTGTAGAAGAGTGAATACACTTGGGCATTCTGTACTTCTCCAGTCAACTTTGCTGTGAGCCTAAAATTGTTCTAGAAAATAGTCTAATTTTAAAAATTTGTCTAAGATCAACATAAATATTAATAAATTGCTTTTTAAAAAACCAGTTACAAAACAGCCAGTCAGCAATGATATTCCTTCTGATTATCTAATAATGTTGAAACTTTTGAATAATGACTATATTAAAAAAATTATAAATCACTTTGGTGACATCTGATTAGAATTAGCTTGATTACCTAGATATAATCACCTTCATTTTCAGATGGCTCTTCATGATATGCTTGGTGAGAATGGAAGTAAAAGAGGAGGTTAAAAAAAGCAGTGTGACAACAGGTATGCCAGAAAAATGAGAGTTGGAGATAAAAGATAAATAAAGAGACATGATGTAGCGAGATCAAGGGACATCATAATGAAAGAGAAAGTGAATTCAGAGGACAGTAGCCGTATTTATGCATGAGCCACTGAAAATTTCTCGGTTAATCAATGGTTCCATTAACTTTTTTCAAAATCTATATTTTTAAAAGATATGTAAAAAATTAATGGGGTAAAGCTGGTCATAGTAATTTGAAAAATGCAATGGAAATTTCACGAATTATATATATAATTAGATGTTTCATTGTTGTCAGGTACTGAAGATACCTAAAAGAAAAAAAGAAGGAAAATACAGCATATTCACTCAATGTCAGTAAAATCATATCTTAAAGATGTAACAGTTATCTATGTGCAAATGGTCTGTGAAGACCAAGGATATACAAGACAATAGGGTGGATTGGAGTTATGGGCCATGAATACAATGGAGGAAAGTTCAAGCAGGTTTATTGACTTTAGATTCTTTTCTGTGTTTAGAGCATCAAAAGTGGGAGAGAGCTAAAGTAAGGGCCCTTTCAGTGACTTTGGAAGCTGTTTAGACAGTATAATTTCATTCTTTGATGGTTACTAATTAAAAAAATATTTTATTTATTATTTTATGTGTATGCATGTATTGCCTACATTAAGCTAAGTGCACCTGTGTCGTGCAATGCCCATGGAGGACAGAAGAAGCTGTCAGATCCCCTGGGACTGGCGTTACAGACAGTTATTAGCTGCTATGTGGGTGCTGGGATTCGAACCTGGTTGTTCTGCAAGAACAGTCAGTGTTCTTAACCTCTGAGCCATGTCTCCAGCACCTAATTATTGACAAAAGGTCACAAATGTTTACCTTTAGCCTACTCCAGTGACTTAGATTCAGTCCTCTTCATTATTTCTTTCTGGAGACCTGACATCAATAATTATTCTTTATTAATTGCTATTATTAGCGTATGCGTGTGTGTGTGCGTGTGTGCGTGTGTGTGTGCGTTACAAGTAATGTATCTAATCCAGCTCTTTCCCTACTCCAAAAAACTTATTTAATTCACATTCTGCTCTACTTGATCATTAATGTACTTAAAATACAACACTTTAATGACTTTTAACTCACTTTCCATCTTTTTCTTATACCTCTCATTTCTAACTCTGTTCTTCTGTATATTTTCAGAAAAGATTCTCTCCCTTTTTCCTCTTAAGTGTTGAATAATGAAGATTCAGTTAAATCAGGTCTTTCCCCAAATGCTTATGCACAATAACCCACTTAACTTGCTAGATGAATTAATGCTGGTTTTATATTTTCTTTTGCCTTATCACTGTTAACCATTATGTTTTCAACTAACCTGCAATCTCTTCAGAATATAATGTTTTTTATGTTAGAATTCTGAAAACTATGAGCATTTGTAAACTTCTTAACTACTGATTAAGTAAATCTATTTTCTTTGTCTTGTCTTCAACTGTATAGGATTTGTAAACAGAACTATTACATGCATCTCAATTTCCCATTGAAATCACTGCAGTCTGAGAGTTACTTGCCTTTTCCTCTAGATGCAATTCTAGAAGCCGTAGATAAGCCACAGGTGCAAAGGCATCAGCTGAATGTGTGACTACTTCTGAGGAATCCCTGAAACAAACAATTCAGTGTTTATCTAACACATGCCTGTGGCAAATCCCTCCTGCTACTGAAAGAAGAGACCAAAAACCTCGCTATATATTTATTTCCACTCCCATAGGATATATACTGATTAGTATGCATTGATCTGATATTAATTCAGAGAAAGGACTAAAAAAAAAGCACTTAAAAAAGAGAATCCTTTTGTGATCAACATGGCCATAAGAATTGTCTCCTATTACTATACATTCTGTGCAATAACTTTAGCTACCTGTGTTGTTCTTATACACAGATATGTCTTTCCTCATTCCTATGAAGGAAGAAACTATGAGCATGAGTAGAGAACAGTAGAATGCTCTGGACATTGGACACTTGATAAAACAGACACTTGATAAAAATATACTAAATAAACTAGCAACATGTTGATTATTAATAGAAAAGAAGTTAGAAAAACATGAAAGAAAGAGTGCATGATACTGTACATAGTGATGAAACGGTTTTAGAATGTCTACTGGAGTCTTAATTTTCTTAGATTACCCCTCACCCATTATTAACATGTACAAGGAATTCAATTCTTAATGCTGAAAATACCGATGCTGGGGCTGGAGAGATGGCTCAGAGGTTAAGAACACTGACTGTTCTTGCAGAAGACCTGGGTTTGAATCCCAGCACCCACATGGCAGTTAACAACTGTCCATAACTCCAGTCCCAGGGGATCCGACAGCCTATTCTGACCTCCACAGGCACTGCACAACACGGGTGCACTTACCTACATGCAGGCAAAACATGCATACACATAAAATAAAAGTAATAAATAATAATTTTAAAAAAGTTAAAAAAATTATTGATACTGCTCATTCAATCAAGCATAATTTCTACAATCATTTTCAAGAAGCATGAGCCCAGAAGTAACAGAGGCAATGCTCTTTTAGAAGACGAGTGACGTAAAGTAGAATGTAGATAATAAAGCAATAAACTGCAGAAAGTTCCTGTTTTTCACTATACTAATTATTAAAATTTATGGTAAAGAAACCACATTACTCACCATAAACTAAATCCATTTAAAAACAGTTTTAAAATGGATTATATGTAAAAATAACCTACAATAACTGAAGAGAAATGTTTAAAGTCACCATTCTAACTTGTTAAAGCCAAAAAGAGGAAAAAAAGGATGGAGTTAATGGAACCCACAGGCTACTGATGTGGTAATTTATCAAACGTAGCTGTTATGAAAGATAAATAATACAGGCAATTCACACTTCATGAAAGGATAAAAGTGTCAGTGTGTAGGTACCAGTTTTACTGCAGGCCATAATCAGCAAGTAAACGGAAGTGCAATGTCTAAAAAGTTTACAGCCTTCTAGGAAGGCCTCCTCTTGTTAGACATTGATTTAAGTATTCACATGACTTCCTTGGTATTAAACAAATTGAGTGTTTGTGATGTGAACTTAGAAGATATGTTCTATTTCTTCCAACCAAAGCTGCCTCAAGCTAAATGTTAAGTTGTTTCCATCACCCAAATCTAAGAAAAAGGAAGATGCTGAAACAGTATCTTACACAATGATTTTCTTCTTAAATAGAGGGCAATCCAAAGTGAATGTCTCATACTCTCCTCCTTCCCCACATACATGGACTCCATACTTCTTAGAAAGCTGAAAATCAGGAAAAACAAAGAACAGGAAAATTAAAATGGGATGCCCAAAATGTTCATCTAGTGGGTTATTTTCTCCTGAAAAATTCATATGGAATGCTGATTCTAAAATTTATGGCAAGCTACAGGAAAATGACCACTTTCTGCTTAAGACATGTTTAAAGTCATTTAACATAATTTCCAGACCTTTGATAATCTCAAGCCCTTGTTAAAATGGCCTAGGAAACTATCTTCACAGTGACAATATTTAAAGACATTATACATATTTTGGTACCAATGCTAGTTTAGATTCAGGGCAGGTAAGTTACTATGCAGTTTGAGAATATGCATAGTCTAGCCATGTTCCTCCTGCCCTTTGACCTTTACTTGGATGGAGCAAAATATATTGTTATTAGTGCATTTCTCAGGGACACAAAGAAATCTAATGCCTTTTCTTAAGCCTATGAACAATAACAACAACAAAAAAAGCCATGTACATGGCTTTTAGGCTTGGGAGTATTTTTTTTAGAAGCATTATAGAATAGGTAAAAACTAGTTGCAAAGAGGAAGAAAATCTTCACAAGTTCTAAGTCTTAATAAGGTTGAGATAGCCTGTAAAGTTCAGCAAATCTGAAATTGAAAACAAGAAAGCAAGCAAAAAAAACCCAACACTAAAAATTTTTATTATTTGCTTTAAAGATAAGTGGTATTATTTCATGATCTTGGTTTTGAGAATAAAAGTCATCTCCTATTTGGCTGATAAACAGCTGGAGTCAGTGCCAGAGATCACTCTCACAGGCTGTCACTGATACAAATCTTTCAGTTTCTCTGTAGAAACTTTATCACCGCAATCCCATCACTCCTTCACTCTGAACATCATAGCTTTCCGTCTATAGATTCTGCTAGCCCAATGCCTCATAGCTTACACAAGATTAATCCTTTGATGTTCTATTACTGCGAATGCTGTGGCTGCTTCATAAGTCTCCAGTTTTATCTGCATAGTTACAAATTTACTTGGATATTTTTGTACTTTTGTTACTATTCTAAACTTCAACTACTGCCTCTGTCTTTAGCATGGATCTATGAGAGTTCTACTTGTCCCACTAAGAATCAGGCATAATTTGAATGATGCCATAAGCCAAATGGCAAGGCAAGCTCTGAGAGCTCCCAAGAGCAAAGTAGATACAATTTTGGCTGGGTTATAAGGCAGAGAGACTCAGCAAGGCCAGATGATAAGAGGTGGTCCCTATGAGACCAAATAACAGGAACAGACTGCTTTACCATATTAAACAAAATTTAATTAATACATGCTCTACAGTTAAAAAAAAAAAAAGCCCACACATACAGCAATAGTAATGGGATATGGATTTCAGAGGTTTTTCTCAGTTATGCAGCTTGTGCTCTACTGATATCTCATGACATCACAACTTCCCACCAAGTCAACCATCCAATCTCATCTTTATGACTTAATGGTCAGGTGCTTTATATAGGGAGTATATAGGAATGTGACCAAGTATCAGCTTTATTTTACTAGTAAATGTCTCATTGACATTCTGCATTGTTTTGTAATAAATGACTATCTGGAGTCTGAAGTTCAAGCTGTGTGACTGTTACATTTCACTGCAGCAGTTCTGGGTCTGTCAGTTCCTAGTAACCCTAATGTGAGCTGTTCTGTTAAATCAACATTTGACCTAAGTATACTCTACAATTTGTGTGTAGCCTGCAATATACTCAATTTACACAAAATATTTCTATAACATTCATTCAATCAATCCATCACCTTTTCATTAATCATCATCTAAAGCTTGAAAGATGACAAAGATTCAAAAATAAGATACTGTCTTGAGACTCTTGAAGCTCACTAAATGCACTGCATAATTTTTTTTCTTTTAAAAAATTTTTATTGAATTTTTGTGAATTGAATTACATATAGAACTGTATTTAAACACCACAAAATAATGATGATTTGAAACAATGATGCTTCCAATATAGGTAAATATTTCAAATCTTTCTTCCTCAGTGACTTCTATGAATGAGAAACCAGTAAATATTCTGACTGAATCCTTATGATGTCTCTGTAGCTTTTCTAAACTCAGCTACCTTCATGTTTAAACACGTTAAGTAAGCGAGAAAAACTTAACCTTTACTGGCTTATGTTTGCCAGGTCTAAGGTTCTTTGAGAGTTCTAGAGAAGTTTCTCAAGAGCTAAAACTCATTAGAGGGGCTTATTTATTGAGTCAGCACTCTACTAAGAGCTGGAGTACAAAAGCAAGAAGTGTGCATGTGCTAGAAAAGTGCCATTTCACACAGTGAAGTCCTAGAAGTAAGTGTATTCCAGAGAAACATTTGTGCTGTATACATGCCTTCATTGTATTTCCAAAACTTGAAACCAGCATTATTAATGTTTATGCTGTTCACAACTAGGCAAGTAAGGGTTCCTCATGCATCTCAGGTTTGTGTCTGGCTTCATCTTAAAATTGGTCCATCATACCCTAGTATGTAACCACTCCAAATGTAACATTTGCACCTCTCCTTAGTAACTTTCTGTCAGCATTCTTGTAAGGAAAGCACCACAGGATTTTGTTTTCCTGAAGTTTAGTTTTGTGCTGAATTTGTTATCTTTCCATAATTTTTTTAGATTTTTAAAAATTTATTATGTGAATATGTGTGTGT